AAGCATAAAAATAATTACTTGCTTAGAACTTTAATTGCATAATCTTTAATGTAAATATTCTGTTACGTAAACATTTATTTTATTTGATATAAAAATAATTCATAGTTATCTTTCATAGTAAAAAAAAGAATGATCTAACTTCATTTTTTTTTATCTATTAAAGAACCTTGTCAATTTAGAACAAAATGCAAATGTTAAAACGAATTTAGACTGCGATATAGTTAACTAATTCTATGTTTTTCGTCCTGCTTTCCAAATAAAGAGGATTTTCGCTTACCTGGCCTTGATTGAACATTAGATTGATAAAAATATGCATGAGAGGTGGAGCTAACATTGTCAGAATGGGTTTCAAATTAGACTAGAATAAATAACAATGTCATGTTTTTAAAATACGTGATCACTCTTTCACCATCTCCCTCTCTATTTTATATGGCACAAGTACACTAATCACAATGGTTTGAACAATATGACTTCATCCATGTACATGTAAGTACATGAGATTTTAAATCAATGCCTGATAATTTAACGTGACTGTTCGAACACATTGTCCTATTTAGCACATATTATTTACATTTTTACCTTACTCGTCACGTGATAGAATTTAGTATTCACAGTTACCTGAGGTGAATTACTCGTAATATTCAACATATCACAACCCTAGGTTACAACAGAGAAAACAAATGCAAGAAGAAGCAGGTTTTTCTATTTTAAACCATGAGCGCATGTTTGTCTATTAATCTCCCTTTGACACAAATTATGCAAATATACAACTACTGTTAAGCATTTGGTCTACTACTTGTTTACGATTTCAGCTACATGTGGTTTTCGTCGTTATAGTGCATGTTATGGTGCATAATATTTACTTGGTAACCGGTAAAACTGCACAACTTTTTCACTTTAGATGGCTGAAATTGAAAGTTTATATGCAAAGACAATGGTCCATGCTCACATTAAATATGGTAGAGTTGCATCGAATACCCTATAAATTCTTTGACGCATGCGAATAAGCATTCTGTTAATTACAGTAAAAAACACATCAAGGCACATTCTATCAACTGATGCTTTTTTTTTTCCTTTGCTCTCTAAAACCACGTGAAAATTCTACAGAATAGCACGAACGTCTCTTTGAACAATAATTGATGCCGATATTTAAACAAGTTCATATAAAGCTTGATAACCCAAATGTAAATATGAGCAATTGCAAAGAATTGAAAGATTATATACCATTTTGAATATCTATTTCATAAATATCGAAAAAGAATGGAAAATGAGTTTCCAAGGGACAATTAAAGATATACACGCTATATAAATGCGATTTTTTAAGTGAAACAAAATGATTTGATCGAGAAACATGATGTGTAATAAAAAATAATACTTTCCACAAAGATTTACTAAATAGATCGTTGTAATTATAAAACAAGTAAGAAAGATCTGCAATTGAGGATTCAGCCTTGAATATTGATGAAGGAAGTGCGTAAACAGTAGATAGACACGTATGTCCGCGGGAAATCATAGATGACGAGGTACGTTGCATTTTGACTACAATTATGAATAAAAGGTCAATATCTGTCATTACAGAATAGATGGTTAATACTAAGTCTAGTTGTTTTAAAGGTGTGCCATCCATTTCAAAAGTTATTTGTATACCAAACGGCCTACCTCGTTTTTTTTTTTGCAATTGGCGACATTTTTGTTTATCGTTCTAAAAGTAGCAACGGTGTCACATGATTCATGATTTTGAATATAGAGGCATTACTTTCCTAGCAGGAAAATAAATAATTTTAATTTGAGATCTTAATAATGCGTTCATATTTAATGGTTTAATTTACAGTATTTTCGTAACTTTATTTGGTAAACAAAATAACTAAATTTCAGATTATCAGACGCAAGTTATATAGCGTGTATATCTTTAAAATTGCTGTTCATTTTCAGTAAACTGTGTTCGTACTATAATCTGTAGCCCATAATGCATTGCAATTCATTCAGCTGATTCACTAAAGTAAAGACATGGCTAATCTAACATGCAAATTTATGCTGACTTCAGAAAATCTAATGGTCTTGACCTGATAAAGTCAGTAAAAATGTGGGCGTCCTCATAATTGCATGGAAATTCATTAGAAATATTGATTACCCCCAACTTACAATGAAAACAGTTTCGTACTTCGCAGATACGTACTTTTATTTAATGTAATTATGTAAAGTTGCAGGTCGGATGTTGACCATCCCTGCAATCAGAAGAAAAATGCTTTTACTTTGTTGCAAATTTTGCATGTCCTTAAATGCAGTCATGAGGGACATGGAATGCATGCTACGTAAATAGAAATGAAAGAAAAGTTGGATGTTCATTAACATATATGCTTAGCGGTAGTCATAGGGAGGGGATTCAGGTTTCCTTCATCTGACTGGGATTACATGTCATGATTAATAGTCAATTAACAAATAAACGACATTTCACCAACCCCACCCCACCCCCTAAATTCCCTTCCCAAACGTATTGAAACCTAGAAAATTTGTTGACAAGCAAATAAAAAAAGGGGGGATGATGGGGGGTCCAAAGTCATTTTTATTTGCTTCAGTATATAATTTTAATTTTAAAAGATGCCTTTGACACGAATGGCCTCCTGCAATTGTGCTTCAAGATATTTTGAACGTTGGTTATCACTGTGTGGCTATAGGGAGTAAATGTGGAACTACTGAAAATGAACTAGAATGGAGATTGTCTTTTTCGCTTGCCGAACAAAAACTAGTGTACACCATGAATCATATTTAGTTTTTATGCTATGGACTCTTTAAAATATTTCTCACTGAAGTAATCAATAAAAACGTACAGGAACCATTGCTGTGTTCTTACTTCATGAAGACTACAATGTTCTGGTTAATACAGGTTGGCAATATGAGGTGACATCCGAACAATTTACTGGAATGTTTTTGTAAGCGTTTTAAATATCTCATTCTCCGTGTGGATCGTGGTAAATTCGCCAATTATTTATTCCTCAGAACAATATGTTTGTGAAAATTGTCGGTGTTGCACGTGAATCTCTTCTAGAACAACTTGATCAGTATTACAGACAAGGCGTGTCCTATATATCCCTCAGTCCGACACTCAGATCTATCTTTGAGCCATCACTTAGTAATCTGTCATTAGTGATCCCCTCATGTGGAGGACATTGTACCGATATTGTATGTAATGATTATTGTACTTTATTTGAAGTATTCCGTTCAGATTCTTCTTCTTATATTTTGAAAGAATATTTTTTTTTTAAGTTCTTTAGACACACTATTTTATTCATCACTTCACCGTACCAATTTTTAACATTACAATACTGGACAGCTGATGTCTTTGTTCATGCAGCCTTCGTGATTATAAACAATACCTCATATTTCAAACATATATACGTGTGCTGTTGGGACAGAATGCTTTGCAATATCTTGAAATTGTCATCACGGATAGGGACCATCTCCCATTCAGTGTATTTAGCTTTGTATTACTATAGGACAGGAAGATACAATGAGGCACTTTGTTACTAATCTGACATCGAAGACTATCAGAGCCTTATGTTATGCATTACAGTATTGGAGACAGATAAAAATATAGGGAATATGTAAGTGGTCTGTCTTTGTCTAGGAGAATTAAAAGAGCTTGGGCAATGCCAATCAGACTTCTTCCTCAGATATACTACTAGTATATTTAAGAATTAACATTAGAACAATCCGCTGCAATTCAAATCTTTTAGTACATATATCACCATCTGTAACAGTGGAAATGTTTCTGTATTATCACACTATAGACTAGGTAATACCTCCAAGTATAGACAGTCCCAGACAGATCTACAGAGACTGTTGCTCTGTAATGATGGGAGACCTGTAAAATTATACGACAGAGACATATCCTGGCAGATACTAGGAATCTTTCAGCATGTTTTGGGAGACATATATGCGACTTTACAGTCTTATCAGGAGTTGCTTAAACAGGAACCATATCATGATTTGCAGAAAGCTACAAAACTTGGAATAGACTACATGTACATACAAAATCTACTGTGTAGAAATGCACTTAGTCTTGAATAACTTAAAATTTGTTCGAAAAATTACATGAAAATTTAAAATAGATTTTCATACCTGCCTACCCTTATTATTGCAGAGGTGTTATGTATATCCCCATACATGTAATGGTGGAATTTCACAGATACATGTAAAGGTGTAATCCTACTGATATCTTATTGCGAGTCTAAATGATAAGTCTATATGTTGTGCTTCACATTAAAATGAAGCACATCATAATTTCCATGTGTTGTAAAATCCTAACATTCAGACATGTTTTAAGCTTATTAGAACCCTGCATCTAATTGTAAGGAAGCACAATATTAGCACATGGTTATTTGCTTGCAAATAATACCTAAAAACCTTTCATTGGGATTAATGCACATAAATAATGATTCGTTTTTAGGTCCAAAGTTTCTTTTTATTGGGTTCTTCTTCCAAATCTTCGGAGTGTGATGGGTGTTTACGTTAAGAAGTCATCTAAGTTATGATAATTCAGTATTAATTTTGCGTTCCAAAAGACCCTGTATTATAATAATGTATTTTACTCATCATCACTCTTCCATACAAATGCATGCCAGGGGTGGTACTAAAACACAGAAGTCATTCAAGAGGTACTCAATAACACAAATATTCAAGTAAAACATTGCAAAAAGCATAAAATTGATTTTTATGCTGCAACAGCATAATTAAATGATAAGAGGTGGACAAAATACAGCAAAATTGGAAGGGTACTCAGACCTGGATTTAATTTTTATAATGCTGTGATTTTTTTTATGTTGAAAAAGATGTGCAGATCGTATTTTATTGTTAGCAAAATCAAAATTATGACTATTTTACACGTAATTCAATAATAAGATGAATATTCTATTTCAGAATTCATTTATTGTATTATTTTTTTTAATAAATCGTGGATTATTCTTTACTGACATTAATCTTTATCAATTCAAAATTTGATGAAATCCACAAACTTTATATTTGAATATTGTCATACTTGCTAATTAACAAATATGTCATTAATAAAATTATTTCAAAAAAAGGATTTTATAAATACATTTTGTGAACAAGGAAACAGTCAAACAATTAACATTCTTTGTCCTGTATGTTTAAAATCATTAAATCATCAAGTCTTTTTCTTTCCTTTATATCCCTTTTTAGCACCTTTCTTTGCTCCCTTCACCAAGTTTGTAAAACGACCAGCCATTTTCGCTTTTTTCCTAAAAACAAAAAAATATGTTTAAAATATTTTCAATACTCCACAGTATTCCTTCTCAGAAAATATCTTGCAAATTGGACAGTTTTTTTATTCTAATACTCTAACAAGAAACTAAACAGTAAAAAGTCTTATTTATAATTACTTAAGAATATATTCTGAATAAATCTGAGAAAAAAATCTTTATGAAAGACGGAAACTACTGAGTTGTCAAATTTTTATCTTAGTTGTCAGATTTTTGGTGTAAAGGGATAAAAGTATTTAAATATGCTGATGTTGAGTACATGTTTAATTCTGTTCAATCATTGTATGAAATACAACTAGCAAATAAAAATATGTCAATAGGACATGAATGACCTAGCTGCCCAGGGTTCATTAGCAATGCAATATAAAAATTTCTATTAGTTATTTAAGTTTGATGTCAACATCTTGAATAGTTTCTTAAACTTTTATACAAAACTAAATACATGTAGTAAAGTCAGAGGTTATTGGGAAGGTCAAGGTTTTAAAAAATGTAAAAATTCTCACCAAATTATGCTTCAGTTCATAAGCTAAACAATTAATACCGAGAGGCAGAGAAGATCTTTAAAGCATTAATGCATTTTCACAACATAATCAATTCAGCCCCGTCCTAACACTAGAACCTCTGACCCAGGGGCCACAAAATTCACAATTTTGGAAGAGGAACCCTTACATTCAGTTTGTTTGCTTAATCCCCAGGAGCAGAAGAGAAGATTTCAGAGCATTTATGCATTTTCACTATATTATCAATAAAGCTCCACCCTAACATCAAGACCTCTGACCCAGGGGCCACACATTTCACAATTTTGGTAGAGGCACCCTTGCTCATCATAACCATGCAATTAGGTTATAAGCTTAATACCCAGGAGCAGAGGAGAAGATTTTCGAAGCATTAATGCATTTTCAATATATAATCAGTTGAGTCCCATCCTAACACCAGAACCTCTGACCCAGGGGCCATGAAATTCACAATTATGGAAGAGGCACCCTTGCATTTAATTTGTTGCCTATTGCCCAGGAGCAGAGAAGATTTTTAAAGAAATAATGCATTTTTACTACATATTAAACAGAGCCCCACCCTAGCACCCGTACCCCAACCCTGGGGCCATGTATTTCACAATTTTGGTAGAGGGCTCAATGCTTATTACAATCATGCCTACAGTTTGACTGCTTGATGTCTGGGAGTAAAGAAGAAGATTTTTTTTCAGATTCCATTGAGTTTGATGCTTTTAGCCCCACCCCTCAGGCCCCAGGGGGGCAAGGATCATGAATATTGCAATTTTTGTTCCCCGTCATCGATAGATGCTATATGCCACAATTGAAATTTGTTCAGTTGTTCTAAAGAAGATTAAAATGTTTAAAAGCTAATGCACAACTTTGGATGGAAACAGATAGTAAGAGGTCATCTGACTGGCTCAGATGACCTAAAATATCATGAAAAAAAAAATTAAAATATTAATATAAGTAAAATGAATAAGTTTAACTGCACTGATTTTAATATTTCATTTAAAGTTTCATAAGAATGTCCTATACAGTGATGAAAATTTTTATAGTTTTTTAAAACCGATATCAAGGAGGTAAAATACTAAACATCATAGAAAGTTTCCGATTTTAGAAATTTGATATTTGCATTATAAACAAGCAAAAAAAGTCAATAAAATATAAAACAATCATTTTACTAATCCATCTGCCCTTTAAACCCTAATCACACCTCTGAGCACACAATGTTAAAGTCTTCCTATATTTTTTTTACCTCTTGTTGAGAGCTTGAAAGTTCAGAGGAAGATAAGCATAAGGATCTGGTCTTCCAGTCTTCTTGATGTCTCCTCCCGCTTTCTTGGCTCTGTATTCACTACCAGCTTCCTGGGGAGCTGACCTTTTGACTTTTGCAAGAGGTCTGTGTATACCCCCTCCTCCAGCTATTTTAGAAAGATCTTTACTATTAGGAATACAATGACAGCATGATAAATGTAGGAATTCAAGGAATTTCCAATGAAAAAAAAAGTTGATGCTTTGATGTTAGATAACTTATCCTATGGAAGCAAACTTTGCTGGACAGCTTAATTAATATTAGAATACAGACTTTGCTATTTATAAATAGCTTCCACAGAAAGGTACATTTATAACCTTTATATTTTGGTGCTGAAGCCTCGTCATCTGAACCTAGATCTTCTACTTTCCTCTTCTTTGTTTTCTATTATATTAAAAAAAATCATTTTATTTCCTGGAATAATGCTGTATGTCTTAACCATAAGTCTCTAGTAAGACCGTAGCTCTACTGGCTTGTACTTAAATTAAAAAAGATGCATCGTAGTATACTTTACTATCTGGAAAAAGTAAGAAAAAAAAACTGTAGGAGGAGTTGCATTTTAAAGTTTTTTCTTGGTCCCACTGAGTTCGAGATAACGAGGTTTGACTTTATATATATATATATATATATATATATATATATATATATATATATAAACCATTAACTGAGGGTTTTTTTTAAATAAAATAACTAATTATTAAATCAATATCAAGGGAAATGATAACATGTTAAAATAAATAAATATTCCTTGTTTTATATGTTAAACAATTTAATTAACATTGATTAATATACCTGTTGAATGATATGAATAAATATGTGAGATATTTGACTCTGCATAGTGATGTAGGGTTTACCTATTATACCTCTACTGTTATTACTCTATATAAAATTAATACCATAAAACTGTCCATTTCCCTGAGAAGATACTATTTCCCTCATCTGAGGACTACTCCCTGAAAAAATCAGAGCTTCTCCCTGGGACTACTCCCTCATGAATATTTATTAATAATTTTAACCAATTAAAATGAACAGTGGACGGAGCATTCAAGGAATCTTGAGTCTATCATATAATGTTACATGTATCAGAAATGTAACTATCATGACGTCTGAACATTTCGACATGCGATGTCAAAGTCTTACTGGAATTCTAACAAAATGAAGACATCGATAATCCATTGAAATATCAGTGAAATTATTCTATATTTTTTAATAATTTTATTTTCCTCAGTATTGATGCATTAATTATCTTACAATATTTTTAATCACATGCATTTGTAATTATTGAAATGCCTATATATTGTTTTAAAAAATGCCCGAGTCTCTAGTTTAATTCCGGGAATTAATAAATCTCCTATGATTGTTTCGGTATAATAAAACAGTTTTGGAATGGGTATTTTGGAAATATCAAATTTATGGTTCGATCCCTTCCGCAAGAAACTATTTCCCTTGGCTTCTTCGCCACCTCGGGAAATAGTTTCCTCCATTGGGAAACCATAAATTTGCTATTTCCTTCAAACCCATTCCATAACTGTATACTATTATACATGTATATTGTTCTAGAGGGAGCATAGTCAGGGCTCCATCCCTGGTGCATTGTAGCCACCTTATATATCACCTTTAATGTTACAGCTCTGGGAAAAAATGTGAAAAAAAAAAGAATTTTAAGATATTTTAAAGAATAATCATGCTCATCCTTTTCCCATAATAATTCTGCTGAAATAACAGTAGAGGTATAATAAAAGAATAATGTATCTTAGTAAAGTCTTCTTGTGTACCAAGTCTTATTGAAATTGGACGAATTGTAGGAGGAGTAGTGTTTGAGATTTTCAAAAAATTTCTATTTTCAGTAACACCTTTTGTCAAAATAAAAAAAAATTGAATAAAATTATGTATCTTTAGTTAGAAAAGTCTAGTTGTATACCAAATCTAATTGACATTGGTCCAAAACTGAAGGAAGTCCGAAGAGTAGTGTTTTGAAAGAATTTACAAGAAATATCTAAAAACGATGACAACATAGTCAAAAAACTGATATTATACAGTTATACTGTTATGGAATTGGTATGAGTGAAATAGCAAAATCCTAAACAAATATCTAAGAGCACCATCATCATTACAAAAGAGTAACAATTGAACTTGAACTTCTGTGTAAAGAATATAAAACTTATAAGAAAAACCATGTTTCCGAGTACAAATTTGGTCCTTGAACAAACATAGTTGTTCTAGCACAAAATTTATATCCAAGGTGGCTGTATATATATATAGATACCTTTCATGCAAACATATAAATATTGTACACCTGGGGCCCGTTTTTCAAAAGAACTTACGACTAAGACCGAAAAATTAAATTGATTGTAAAATTTTGCAAAATAAATGATTTGTTTAAAATTGCTAGCGTAAAAACATCTTACTCCATTCCTTTCAAAAAGATTAAAACCTTTTTTAATACAATGTAAGTTAAAAAGTTACAAGCAGAATTAAATTTTGGTCTTAGTCGTAAGTTCTTTTGTAAAACGGGCCCCTGATGTAGTAGTCTGTACTAGAGTTTTGTGTAATATATATGTGCATAATTATCTTGCATGTCAACATACAGAAGTTGTATGCTAATTAACATAAATAAGTTGTATGTTAACATAAATAAGTTGCATGTCAACATAGATAACTTGCATGTTGACATAAATACATGTATGCTGCATGTCAACATATTCATCTTGCATGTTAACATAAATAGGTTGAATGTATACATGAATAAGTTGTGTCTACTACGTTGAAGTCACATGTGGGCTATATTCTATAATTTTTGAAAATTTTCCAAATTCTTAATTGATTACAGTTATCATGCATGTCAACAATTTTATTATGCATCATGTGCATGTTGACATATTTATGTTGCATGTTGACATAATTACTGGTATCAAAAAATTATGACTACTCTCTGTAAAATCAGAGCTACTCCCTGGGACTATTCCCTCATTAATATTCATTAATATTTTTAAGAAATCAAAATGATGCTCAGATGGTTGAGTGTACAAGGAATCTCAAGTCTGTGATGTAATGTTACATGTAATAGTAATGTAACTATGATGTCAAAACATTCTGTCATGCAATGTCAAAATCATACTAATAATAATAAAAAAAAAAAAAAACAAGAGGCCCAAGGGCCTTAACGGTCACCTGAGTACAATACAACAATTTAGAGGATCCATACACTGATAAATGAAGCTTTGTTGCCCAAAAGCAAGAAAAATAGTATGATAAGCATCAACAAAATAATTGGTAAAGAATCTATCTGTCCCCCATTTATCACTATTACCATGCAGACTATTAACACAAGAGGCCCATGGGCCACATCGCTCACCTGAGCACACATTGGCTAGGAAAAAAAGCAAAAATCAGTACAGTATTGAAAAGTTTACAGGGAGGGGGGTGTTGAATTTTAAACAAACTGATGATGCTTTCATATCAATATAACAAATGGCTTTGTTGTTCTTGAGCAGCAGATTTTTTTCCCATATATTCATTTGTAAAAATTTAATCCCCCATTGTGGCCCCACCCTACCCATGGGGGCCCTCATTTGAACAAATTTCATTCTACACTACCCAAAGATGCCTCCATATCAATTTGACTAATCATGGCTTTTCTGTTCTTGACTTGGATCCTTCATTGTGGCCCCACCCTACCCCCGGGGGTTACGATTTGAGCAAATTTGAATCTTCACTACCTGAGGATGCTTCCATATAAATATGACCAATCATGGCTTTACTGTTTTTAAGAAGAAGATTTTTAGAGATATTTTCCTATATATTTCTATGTAAACTTTGATCCCCCATTGTGGCCCCACCCTATCCCCGGGGGTCATGATTTGAACAAACTTGAATCTACACTACCTGAGGATGCTTCCATATAAATATGACCAATCATGGCTTTGCTGTTCTTAAGAAGAAGATTTTTAAAGATATTTTCCTATATATTTCTATGTAAAACTTGGATCCCCCATTGTGGCCCCACCCTACTCCCGGCGGTCATGATTTGAACAAACTTGAATCTACACTACCTGAGGATGCTTCCATATAAAAATGACCAATCATGGCTTTGCTGTTCTTAAGAAGAAGATTTTTAAAGATATTTTCCTATATATCTATGTAAAACTTGGATCCCCCATTGTGGCCCCACCCTACCCCCGGGGGTCATGATTTGAACAAACTTGAATCTACACTACCTGAGGATGCTTCCATATAAATATGACCAATCTTGGCTTTACTGTTCTTAAGAAGAAGATTTTTAATGATATTTTCCTATATATTTCTATGTAAAACTTGGATCCCCCATTGTGGCCCCACCCTACCCCCGGGGGTCATGATTTGAACAAATTTGAATCTACACTACCTGAGGATGTTTCCACATAAGTTTCATCTTTCCTGGCCCAGTGGTTCTTGAGAAGAAGATTTTTAAATGATGCCATTATTTTTTCACTAATTCCTAATTATCTCCCCTTGAAAGAGGGCGTGGGCCTTCATTTGAACAAACTTGAATCCCCTTTACCCAAGGATGTTTTGTGGCAAGTTTGGTTGAATTTGGCCCAGTGGTTCTTGAGAAGAAGTTGAAAATGTGAAAAGTTTACAGACAGACAGACGGACAGACAGACGGACAGACGGACGCCGGACAAAATGTGATCAGAAAAGCTCACTTGAGCTTTCAGCTCAGGTGAGCTAAAAACAGGGATGGGCACGATTACTGAAAAATGTAATTGATTAATAATCGATTACTTGGAGGAATTTTGTATAATTGATTATTAATCGATTTCACTCATTTTTGTCCTGTAATCGATTGTAATCGATTACTTTGGAAGATGTAATCGATTAATAATCGATTACTTCCAAGTTTTTATCCCTTCAAATATCAAAGCAATATTTAAATGGTAATGTTGATGATACATGTGTATCCACTGAAGTTTGAATGTGTTCCTGCAGTTTCAGTGCAGATTCTTTTAAGATTTTATTCCAGCTAACATTTTCTCTAAATGCCCAAATGAGGGATTCTCTACCATGGAAAATGGAGACATGATTCGTACAATAAAACATACCAAGGAATTAATTATTCCTTTCAACCTTGGATCTGAACCTCCATATTTTTTTACTTGTTGCAAAAACTATTTAATATTTTATTGTGAATAACTTCATTAAAAGTATTTGGGCTGCCCGTATTTTGACAGTACACATTAAATATTCCTGTACATGTCTTCTTTCCAAAAAAAATAAGTAAATTAGAACTCATAGTAATAAACAGTCATGTAAATTAAATGTGTCTTTAAGTAATTAAACTATAATAGCACAATTTCATTCTGTATTGAAATAACTATTTTGAGAGCTATTAATTGTTTTAATAA